AGTTTCACAAGGGCTTACTACCAACTTCAGGGAGAAGAGAACAACAACCAACAGGGTAGGGCAGGGTAGTCTTGCTGGCAGCAGCACAGTCTTAGATAAGGAGATTGTGAAACCACACTCTATGCTAAAGAGGTATAAAATAGCCTGTATTTACCTATAGGAACCCCAGCAAATACAGTTACATAGCTTTGGATATCCCATTTCCAAGTCAGGACTGCATTTCAGCATTTTTTTGCTACACTGTAAGTAGCACCTGGAACCAGATAACCAGTATCATCTTGGCCTCCTTTCTTGCTGGAGACTTGGTCCATTACCACCTCTTGCTTTCCCATTTATCTTGTGAGAAAAACATGAAAGCCCTTCTCTGTTCAACACAGCTCAGGAATTTGAAGCCAGAACTGCCGTTCAGGACTGACTGCTGAAAGGGGGGTGAAGGCTACTCTCCAAAAGCAAACTGTCATGGTACTTTACAGATGAGCATTTTAAACTGAAAAAAGCTGTATCAGTAGCTGCACACGTATGGAAATGGAAGCTATTTTGAAAAAAATAAAGGTGGCCACAGAACTTGGAAGCTGCTGCTATGGAATTTGGCCACATCTAGTCCTTACATAGGCCACATTCTGTAAAGCTGACTGTAAACACTCAACCATACAAATGCGGGGCTCAGCGTATTTCTAGATTTCAGTCTGCACAAATTAAAATGTTTTCCAGAAGAGGCAGTTAAATTTACCTATTAAACAGCAATTAATACAGAACAAAAACATAACAGAGAAAGCAAATTAATCTGCTATAAGAATGCCATAGGAGGAAGATTAAAAAAACAAAACTTTTATTCAATTGATGTTACACCTGCAAAAATGCAAGTAAACTAACACTAGTATATGATTCTTGAAACCATACATTATGAAGTATCTTTTCCTCCTTCCTTTCTGCTACATTATCCCAGTGAAAAACAGAATTTGTTGCTGGCATTTTTGCTTCACTTTTAAACATGCATCTACAACAAAAAGGCAGTTACACAGCAGTAGGATGAAGTTTCTCTTTGTTTGAAACTATTTCAGGAAAGTTACTTTTACTAATGTGAAAGGACTAAAAGTGAAAATAGTTGTTTACATTGCTTATTTATACAGAATGATTCAGTACGGCTTAGGGGTTTGTTCATGTTCCTCTTAACACTGGCATAACAGACACCATCACAGAGCAAAACTAGAAGAGCTTGTAGAAGTATTCATGCAATAAATTACATTGTACTTAAGAAAATATTATAAAACAAACATGAAAGCTCAGTGAAATTCAGAGAAGAGACAAATTCAGTCTCTCTACTAATTAACCTACCTGCTGGCAGATGATCCATTTAGTGAATTCTGTAGACTTGTATTGGCTGAACCTAGAGAGGCATTAAAAATTCCCTGCTGAGAACTACCATTCACCGGACTCCCGTTACCTTTGAGTATACCGGTACACTTCCAGTTGTCCATGTAATTAGCTGCAAACATAGATACAATAAAACCTGTTAGTTTCCCTTCTGAAGCTCAGCATTTTATACAACTATGATGTTTCAACTGCTACGCACCTGGTAAGAATTAGAATTGAACTTCAATACCAATATATAAATTCCAAACAGTTGAGGATCTGGCCCTTTATCTCCCTTTATCTGACATTCTCTGCCTATCCACGATTTAAAACTCAGTTTTGTTCAGTAGCAAAAACAAGTTTCCTTTATTAAAATACTGAGGAACAAATGAGAATGGATGAGGAAACTACCACTGGGGTTTTTTTTACTGCTTTTGGAAATTTAAACAGAAAAAAGCCAGTTTGCCTGAACGCTGTGCTTGAATGTCTATTTTCTGGTTTTGACAGCAGGCAAAGATAGTAATGCAGTACATATGTTAATTTTAAAAATGACAACTTTACATAATTCTAGTCTGGTGAAAGAATTTAAGGGTACAGTAACAACTATTCACAGCAGCATAAGTCATGCAAGTATTCCAGCACAGACAGTTATTCCCTTTTTCTGAAATGTAAACAGAAATACAAAAATATAACATTCGCCAATCTAAAATTAACTTTTAATCCAAAACTATTTTTTGAGTAAAGTTTCTTAAGTATATTCAGCACACCTCAATGCTAATGTATTTCAGGTGGGTGACCTTACCCTTCCAGAGCCTAACGCAGCCATCATCACCAGAGGAGGCAAGCACTGTGCCTGTAATATTCCAGCTCACTCGCCACACCTGGGAGTTGTGATTATCAAACTGTGCTACAATATGAATTTCAAATTTGGTTAATCCTCCAGATGAAGTCAATTCTTTCCTGTTTAAGAGAAAAGTGACAGTTATGCACACAACTGTTCACAGGTCTGGGCTCGAACATGACGACAAAAAGGAGTACATTTTTCAAGGAGTTTATGTAACAATTGTTACTAGATTAGGTGTATTAAGAGGTATTCAGGCAAAAGCATAGAACTGCTCACAATCTTGTAATCTTAAAAATCAAGCTGCTAAAAAACAATCCTGCATACATTAAGTTACTACTTTTGCTTTGCAGATACTATTAAAATAAGACTATATAGTGTGTACCACATCATACCAAACTAACTTCCTTTTAAGCTCACCTTAGAGGTTTTAGTGTGAAAATTCGTACATCTTTGGTTGCTACAGCTAATATGTGGAAGGATCTTCCCAGATTTGGAGCAAATGCAATATCATGTACAGGATCTGTGACTGTCATCAGAGCTTCTGCTTTTGCATATTTCCTGTACAACATAAAATATTAACTTTTACTGCCATCAAAATTGCCAGTGGTGCAATTTATATAAATCAGTCATAGTGGAACGCGGGAAAAGGGGTTAGCATACATGACAAGACTTGCAAAACTAAAAATATTTTCATAACATAAATTTAAAGTGATAATTCCAACCTGATTTCTTTAGAAACTGAATACACCACATACAGTAACTAACAACAGTATGCTAAATGATACAACAAAGCAAAGATTCCAGTACAAAGAACATTTTTGTTTACAGTCGGAAGAGGGAAATAAAAACACGCTTCCATTCACAAATCTAAAGGGAATTTATGTCTCAGTAACACACTAAATTTTCTGCGCTTGTAAGCAGACCGCTGTCTGCCTCCTTCACTGCATGATAAACATGTATTCCATTTTCTATTTACCACCAGATAAGTTACGACTTTTCTTTATTGGTAATGGACAGAACATTGTCTGAAGCCTGACATAAATCCAGAAAACACCTTCCCACACCAATCACGCTGCATAAAACATAAGTTCTCTGTCATTGTTTAATTAAAAGTGGTTGTGCACATGCTTCCTGGCCTTTTCTAGTTGTGAATTAACTGTACAAACTGAACTTTTACAGAACGCTAGTAATTCACAGGACTTTCTGTCATTATAAACATGCTTTTAAAAGCATTTTAAGGTCATCTTGAACAAAACAGTGCCTACCGCAACACAGTTCAAATTTCAACTTTACTCTATTAATTCCTTGTGCAAAATAAGCACATAAATTAGTAGAAGCAGAAACAATAATTCTCCCTTTAAAATACTGCTAAGAACACTGGCATTTGTGGACTAAGATAGAACAAAATTAT